CTTTAACACGAAAACGAGACTGAGGGGCCTAAGGGGCAATGCCCCCTAGCCTTAGCCTGGTTTTCGAGTAAACGCTTACTCTCACATTTATTGGTCAATATAAAAAAAAATTTCATGCATGTGTGAAGAAGGATGCTCTGCTTCTTTCCGCATTGCCAGTGAGAAAAAAACTTGACTCCATTCCATTTAATGGTTCTAAGTTGAAAACAATGTAGCTGTGACGTATTATTACCGAAAAGATATATTTGAACTTGTGAAACTTAATCACTGAGCTATACTATATTACTGGAGGATCTGCTCGGCAAAAAAAAAGGGAAGCCAAAAACATGGCGGACTTCGGCCTTTGCTGACGCCATTTCCATGACAACTGGTCCGTATTTCTCATGGTAATTACCACTGACCAGGCTCGGATTTGTGTCTGATACAATTTGCCCCTCCCCCCGGTTTTCTGAAAAAACTTTAGGTTTTTGCAATTTTTCTCGTGTTTCATAGTATTTTCTCGATGATTTGAATCGATTTTTTAAATGTTTTCGAGATATTTTTTCTAAATTTGTTTATTGGTTCAAAGATGTGCAAGTCGTACGTGCTATTCTTTCTAAAACATGTAGTTTAGTTCAATTTTATTTATGCTTTATCTTATTTCACATAAAATTGGTATATAGTGCTGGTATACACTGCTTGTAGTTGTATGCTATATGGAACGGTATACTACAGTCACTACATATCTGATCGAGTTTGAGGAACGACGAAAGGCTTCTGTGAGGGAAACAAATTACTAATCTGATGTATATCTGTTGGAGTTTAAACAGTACTTGAATCAGTAAAAGCGCGACTAAGTCGATTTTCCAAACCGTTTAACTTATTGATAAAATGCATGCCCAATTTCTCAGTACTCGATCGAGCTTTGTTTCAATTTCTTGGTGTAATTCCCCGGATGATCTTTATTTTATACGGCTATCAAACTCATATAGAAACTTTATCCAGATTCGAATTACCGTGCATGATCTGTGCCATAAACGTAACATTAAAGCTTGCGCGAGGAAAATTATCATTCAATGTCAATTATCACACAAAGATCACAGAATATTTATCACTCAATATAAATTAAAATATAAGTGGACTAAATTCATATCAATCCGCTAAACCCGTTTATCTGTGATAGTGCTGATAGTTTGGTAGCTTTTGATAGCAGTGTATGCTGGATTACAGTAAAACAATATTTGACATTCAAACACTCATTAATCATTCATAAGCTTATTGGCAAATCATATCAACCATAATATGTCACGTGCAGTGGCTTTAAACCTGATAAAACGCTCCTAATTAGTATTCTTTATATAAAGAACACTAATCAGGCAGTATCAACACCGCGGAAAAACGTCTGCGCATGCGTCAACCTTAACTGTAATAGTATTGCGAACTTCATGAGAAGCTGTTCCGAACGTTTCCGAAGGCTCAAAATGGCGGTGAAAAGGAGTGACTTCATTGTGCGTCTTTACAGCTAGATTTCGAGCGCAAAAATAAACATGTCATTCTAAAAACTACGAATAAATACAGCCAGAAGGTTCAAGAAATTGTATTGTACAAGAACATGAACTAAAGGTGATTGCTGACAAATTTATCGTCTCAAACATTTTGTTTATCAACAATGAAACGACAATTTCCGAATTTTCGTTTGAAATACATTTCTTTAAAAAAAACTGTGTCGCCAAATATAAAACATTTTCGTGTTCACAATAATTAAACTTTTGGATTTATTCTACAATTTGAGTGGGTTAAGAAGCTTAACTTTAACTTTTTAGTTTGAATTTTTGTTTTGAATAATTTTGCAAAAATTTTCGAAGTCGTGTCCGTTAAAATCAACAATTTTTTACATGAATTATATTTCATTCCATACCTTAAATGTCAGGACACTTTCAATTAATGTATAGTCTACCCATTTGCTATATTTTCTCGTTTGTTTTACTCATTTTTGACCAATTAATAAGTATGTTTTTGTTTTAGAAATTGATATTCAAATTCCCCGCCATATTTTCATAATTTGGTGCATGCGCAGACGTTTTTCCGCGGTGTTGGCAGTATCTATTGTAGTCGTGTCCTTAACAGGTGGGAAATTTGTCTGAGCATGCGCGAGCAAAATGAGCCACGCAATTGCGTTGAATACACGCAACGCGTGTTTACAAAAAGGCACAATCGTGTAAATATTGCCAAATGTTTGTACAAAATAAATGACTGTTTTATGTTGAAAGAGTCGACATGATCTAAATTAATCATACAGAATTTTTTAGTGACGTTCTATTTCAGTACCCTGCCATTGTCTCTGGTGGGCTGTCCGTGTGCATTCGATCTGAAACAGTTGCTACTTTGCTGTCGAACAATTTCGAATGTTTACATGAAAATAGAGGCAAGTCATGCATTTTACAACCTCATAAACTGTATGAGCCCCTATTTTTACGCTTATACCTAAGATATCAAACAAAAGTACATGAAACAGAGAACATTTTTAGAAAGTTTTATCGTGAGGCCACGGCCAGTTTTTAAAATATCTTTATTTCTGTTCCGGTCATCACCAAAATTACACTAAAGCCGGGCTTGCATATATAACAAATTTTGAATCTCATCAAGTACAAAAATATTTAACGTGTAACCAAAATATGCTCATGAAATCGAAATTAATAGCTAAATTTTCAAACTAGACCCTTCTCGAAGCGGTTTTCATGAAGGAAGTTCACATTTCGGCCTTCGATTCTTGGCAAAAATTTGACCACAACACGTGCGAAGCAACTGGGTCTGAAAGACTCAGCTAAAACATTGTGAGCCCCTACTTTCCTGACGATATGTTTGATACCTACAAACGCCGACAAGTTTTTTCTTTTCATTTAGCTATATTTGAAATTGAGGCCACGGGCTATTTTTGAGAAAATACAGTTCAAAGTCAAGCTATTTTTACATATTTTCAAAATTTGTCAAATTTCGCGAGCTTAATTGTATTTTGAACTTAGACAGCTGAAGTTACATTAAGAAACATAGGATGGAAAATTTGAGGCATATAAATTTAATTTCAACTTACATTTCATTCTCATATTACGTCTTTCTTCGTTTATTACGGTTTTAAACAAGCCATAGATCGACGTATACGGTGTTTACTCCCACGTTCACGTCGCCATATTAACTTCTTCCAATCACTCGATTACAAAACAAATCATCCCAAAACAAAGAATTCATGGTCGACTTTTAAAAGAATAACCGTTAATTTGTAAATCGTTGAATGGAAAGCAAAAAATCGTCAGCTAAAACAGCTTCTTGCTAACTTTCTGCTTTGTTTTGAATGTAAATGCAATGAGCTTTGTTTATGCCCGCGATTTTTTGGTCAGCGACGACAAATTTCCCACCTGTTCTTGTCCTTATTAGTATTCTTTAAATAAAGAATACTAATAAGGCAGTATATCTATTGAATTTGTAGTCGTGTTTGAAGCCGTTTAATAAACAAGCAGGAGTGTTTTATTAGGTCTAAAGCCACTCGCGCCTTTAAACCTAATAAAACACTCCTGCTCGTTTATTAAATAGCACGTAAACATTATAGCCTAATTATTTAATACGTAAAACATTTGCTATCAAATTTTTGAATTGAATTGAATTGAATTGAATTGATTTAATGACTACTGACTTTGTAACCCAAAAAGGTTAAATTACACCAGTATTACATAAATTAAGAGGATAAGTTAAAATTACATAATAATTACATATTTAAGATTATTTACATTTATAAAAACTTATTTACTGTTAATCTTTAATATACTTTGAGGTAAAAACGAATTCTTAAAACGTTCGGTTCTGCAAACATAATTATGATATTTACATATCGGTCTTAGATCATATCCAGATAAAACTGTTTGTGGTAAAAGATCTTTGAGATTTTCATTGTCAATATTCTTCTCAAAGAAATGTTCGCATAATTTTTCACGGCGATCTCTCAGTGACGTGATGTTAGTCGTGATCAGCGCTTCGTCGTACTTTTGCGATGGGAGGATGATTCTCAACGCGCGTTTTTGTATTTTTTCAATATCGTCACATAAATATTGTTGGATATTGTAATGCCAGACCAGGCATGCGTACTCTAAAACAGGCCTAATAATAGAATAGAATAGAATAGAATCTTTATTTCACGAGGGAAAACGTATTAACCGTAAAAGTTATCTAACATACGGCCCTCGCACTATTTTGATATTTACAGGCATAAAAAGTATTAAGGATTACGACTATTTACATTTGAGAAAAAATAATTAGTAATGAATACAATTACAATTTAGTAAATATTTACAATTTATACAAAATAGATCTTCGATATGGTTAGTAAGGGTAAGCTTGTTAAGAAAGATTTTACGAATTTTTTGTTTGGCGTTAGTATATGAAGAGCAAGATGGCGAAGCAGCAAGTTGCTTACAATCGCTATCTAAGCAATTAAAAAGAATGGAAGCACTGTACAGAAATGTTCGTTTACCAGAGTCAGTACGCGGGAAGGGGGGTTGAAGGTCATATGCGCAAGCTCTAGTCAGAGCCCGTTGTCGAATAGAAGATAAGAATTTAAACATTTGCTTAAATGAAGATGGAGCACTGGGATTTGTGAGAATGTTAATTAGTAAGAGAAGCTTCCTAAATTTAACAAGATCAAAAATTGGGATTATTCGAATCTGGGAAAAAAGAAGAACAGAAGGAGTAGAAAAGTCAGCGTCTAGAATAATACGTGCTGCACGCTTTTGCAGTTGAAGAATGCGAAGTAAAAGTGTTTTTGAGCAGTTTCCCCAAGTTACAGAGCAGTAGATAAGACTTGAATTAATACAGGAGTTATAGAAACGAAGAGCACAGTCCTTAGTTAAAAAGGGTTTAATCCTGCGTAATAAAGCAAGTCTACCATTGATTGTTGAACACAAGTTGTCAATATGCTTGGTCCAAATTAAAAACTCGTCAAGCGTTAAACCCAACACTTTTGCTTGCTTCACCTGTGCAAGTATGTTGTCATTAAGAGTAACTGATAGAGAACGGTCTGAAGCATTCTTAAATTGTTGGGGAGAATGAATGAGCATGGTCTTGGTTTTCAATGTATTAGTCACCATTCGGTTTTGTTGAGTCCATGTTGAGAGATCTTGAGCAACAAGGTTAAGTTTCACATTTAAATCATGAATGGAAGAACCTTCTGTTAGAACGGTGGTGTCATCTGCAAACATTGTGGATCCTGAATGTGAAAGTTGAGAAGGGAGATCATTGATAAATAAGATAAAAAGAAGGGGGCCAAGAATACTTCCTTGAGGAACACCTATTTTAACAGGACGCATATCGGATAATGTGTTTTTGAAATAAGTGCGTTGATAACGATCACTAAGATATGACGCAAACCATTTCAATACTAATGGAGAACATCCGAACATTCTAAGTTTCAGAATTAGGATTTCATGATCAACAAGATCAAAAGCCTTTTTGAAATCAACAAGAAGAAGTCCATTTAATTTTTTGTTATCAATATTAGTTAAAATTTTATCAGTAAGATGAGTGACTGCTAATTCACATGAGCGAAATGTTCTAAACCCAAACTGATTTTCAACAAGAAGATTATACTCAGTTAGGAAGTGATAAAAAGAATTATGAACATGGCGTTCAAGTATCTTAGAGATAACGGCCAAAACTGAGATAGGGCGAAAGTTGGAACGGTCAAAAAGTGAACCCGATTTGAAAAGGTGAAACCTCTAATAATGGTAGTATATACAGTAATTAACGTGTCAATACACGCGTTGGACCTTTTTAGCAGTCTTAGCATATAGAGCCTCTTGCTAGCTTTTTTAACTATGTTGTTTATATGTTCATTCCACTTCATGTTATCTTGAACTGTGAGGCCAAGGATACGGGCAGATTTCACTCGTTCAATATTAACTTTATCGACTGTTAAAGGGAGAAAGCAATGCTACTTTTTTGCAAAATCACTAACCAGTTCTTTGCATTTTCCAATGTTTAGTTTCATATTATTACTCGTAGTCCAATTATTGATGTAATTAACCAGTTCTTGAAGGTTGCTGTTACAATCTGGGCCAATGGTTTCGGTAGTGGTGGTGTCGTCAACGTATTTCCATCGGTCTTTCCAATCGGCGAGGAGATCATTTATCATGATTAGGAAGAGGATTGGGCCTAAAACAGTTCCCTGGGGAACTCCACCGTTGAGGATTTGCCATTCTGACATACAATGGGGCATTCTGACCCGTTGGCTTCGTTGAATAAGAAAACTTCTTATCCAGTTTGTTATTAATGATGAAACGTCCATATCAGATAATTTACTGAGGAGGATGTTATGATCAATCTGATCAAAAGCTTTGGAGAAGTCTAATAAAAAAATTCTCAGAGCGTTTTTCGGCACATCAGTTTCGTTTAATAAGTGATGGAGAAGGCTCAATAATGCATGTGTTGTTGAGGAGTTTTTTAGAGATCCAAATTGCCGTTTATCGATCTTCTCACCAATCAACTCCATCAGCCAGTCTGCGACAAAACGTTCACACATTTTTGACAAAGTGGCAGTAAGCGAGATGGGACGCAAGTCTTTAGTAATGTCCCTCGGCACCTTATTTTTAGGTACAGGGATGACGTCGGCTTTTTTCCATACCGCGGGAACAGACGCCTGTTGAAGGGAGGCGTTGAAGATTGAAGTAACAGGGGGAGACAGCAGGGGCGGATAATCTTTTAGGACCCAATTCGGTATTTCATCTCGGCCAGCCGCTTTCGAGGATGATATTGAAGATAATTTATAATAAATGTCTTCTTCCCTAATAATGTACTCGGTTGGAATTGTAGTACAATCGCTTTGTAATTGTCTATCGGGGAAAGGGATAGGACTAAGGGGAGGAATATCTCGAGTAACGGATACGAAAGCCTCGTTAATTTTTTCAGCGAGTTTCTTTCCAGAGACGACTTGCTCTCCTAGGACAATACTTGAAAAAGATTTCTTCTTAGGGTAGCCAGCTATTTGTTTTACGGTGTCCCACCATTTCTTAGGATCAGGGTTACGTTTCAATTGTTTTAATTTATGTTCTAAGAATGCAGATTTAAGGTACCTACTTTCTCGATTGGCACGATTACGTAGTCGCCGGTACAATTTGTCATTTTTCTGAAAAAATGCCTTCTGTCTGCTTTTAATAAGTTCCTTGTATGAAGGTGTTATCCAAGGCTTATCTCGGTCGTGCATTTTAACTACTTTACATGGAAGGAAGTGGTCTAAGCCGGTATGAATAACATCCTGAAAAATTTCCAGTTTTTGTTCGCACGGTGCAGTATGATACAGGTTAGTCCAATTATAGTTCGTTAGCCATCTTCCAAATGCAACTTTGGCACCTCTGTTAGCGGGTCTAATTTTTATTTTCTTGCATCCGTTCAATGATTTACATTTTTTTTAAATGCATAAAACGGAATTATGGTCGCTGAGTCCGATGGGTGCGATCACCTTAGGAGGGTCACGTGTGTCTGACATATTAGTAAGAATAAGATCAAGGACAGCATCTTTCCTGGTTGGTTGTTTTACGATTTGTTTCAAAGTAAAATGTCTTAATAAAGATGAGACAGGACATCTGTTAAAATCTCCGAGTAAAAATATACCTGCATTTGGGTACTTATTGAGAGCAAGGTCAAGTGTTGAGCTGAGGTGATCTATAAACGCGGCGTTGTCGCTGGATGGAGGTTTATAGGCCACACAGACGATCAAACACGAGAAGCCTCGATTAAGTTTATAAGGTCGTACATAGATCCATAAGGTTTCAAAATTGATGTCATTAAATTCCGTTAGAATTTTGAACGGGATGTCTGATTTAATAAAAGCACAAACTCCACCGCCAAGTTTATCAATTCGATCACATCTTGCTATTGAATACCCGCGAATACAAACTGCTGCATCGTCGATTTTCTCATTTAACCATGTTTCGTTTATGAAGGCCATACTCACATCATATTGGTCAAGTATAATTTTTAATTCATCTACCTTTGGTAAAAGTGATCTTGTATTTGAGAGAAGGAATGTCAGTAAATTACTTTGGGCGCACTTTGGGCTTTGATATAGAGACGTGCTTTGATATAGGGATGGATTCTTGATTGGAATTTCAATTAGATTACGCGTTCCGCTACGGTTTCGTTTGCTAGTATTAGGAATATGTTCATTATAGCACGGAGCGCTAGACTGCTGACCTTCGAATTCATGGTAAGATGTAATTCTTACTGGTATAGTGTTTCGTTCCGGTGTGATTATAGTGTTATTACTAGCTGCGACAGGGATCTCCAAGTTTATTGCAATGTGCGACGGACAAACTCCAGGTAATTCAACCAGTCTGCCTGCTGGCTGAATCGCGACCGAAAAAACGTATGCCGGTTCATCTTTCCTGTTTCATTCCTTTGAGTCTGGCGTGAGCGAGGCGCATGTGTCGAGTAATTAACAAGTAGGGGCAACCGTCCTATCCAATCAAGGGGTTCGGCCCCACTTCGAGATGTATGCATGGGGTTACTAACTGTCGCGTTAAGCGTTTCAACCAGAGGTAGGCGGTCCAACCATTTCAAAGATCCGGTCCCACTTGGTGCCGGCTGACTTTCGCCAGTATTAGCACAACTAAGGTTTGAAATATGTTGTACATTCTGTTTATTTCTTGGTTTTTGCTTCACACAACTGACATTTGATTGTGGGCGAAAAACAGCTTGGGAATGTTGATGGAAATTACTTTGTTTTACAGGACTGACTAAAGGCCCGGTCACACTACACAACGATAACGATACGATAAATTGTAAACACGCGATAATTGTCAAAAAAATTGTGTTAGTGTCCACACAACAACGAAAATGATAAAATTATCGTTAGACCATAACGATAACGATTTTAAAATCGCTCACCTGAGCGATTTTTTTTTCAGTTAGACGATAACGATAAATTTTTGACCAATCAGCGCGCGTATACAAGTTATCGTATCGTTATCGTTGTGTAATGTGACCTGGGCTTAAGTTGTAATGATGAGCGTAATACTGCTTTGATTCATGTTTAGCAGAACCAGCGCCTACGCTAAGGGGTTTGGTTGTGTTAGCAGTCGATCCAATTTTAATTACTTCAGAATTGGCCTTGGGAGTTTCTAATTTATGGTCGGAGGTGGATTTGCATACTTTATAATGATTCTGTTGACCTTTATTTATTCCTGGTGCACCTTCGATTTGCTGGGTAACGTGTTTGTTAGAATTAGGGTAGGCCTGGAGCGTTAACTTGTTATTTGGCTTGTTACTGCTAACAGAACAAAGCTGGGCTACTCCGGGAGGGTTGGTATTTTGTTGGCAGATTACGGTTGACCGTAATTGAGCACAAGACTGATTTGAACCATGTTTACATATGGGAATCGTGGCAGTACTATCAATCTTGGTTGAGTTAGCTGTAGGTCCAACATTAATTGATTCAGAATTTGTAATTGGGGCAGTATTATTGTCTGAAATGAAGTTACTTTTACTCTGATGGCATTTGATTGAGTCTAGGTCGTGACGAATTTGCTCAATCGCTTGATTGTTAGACTGAACTTTGCTTAAAATATTTGATTCTGTGATTATATGATGTTTAGTTTGAGACCTTCAATTTCGGTCGATAAACCACTAAGCGTGTATGTACACTGGTTATCTGTCGCGTTTGTGGCATCAGCTATATTTAATCCGACATTGTTATGTACTTCGAAATCAGTTTGGGTAGTGGAATCGAGAAGATCCTTTCTGGCGAGAATTGCAGAAAATTCATTTAGTAATCTAGTTGTAGAATAACAAAGCTTGTTTACAATCACAGATACACCGTCAATTTTATCCTTAATCGCTTTTATTTCAGCTATAGACTGGCTTGGGCATTCACTAGAATTAGTAATTTTGCCAATGTCACGCGATTCTCCTGTCGATGATTTTGGCTCGTCCGGTATTTTATGTGTAGTATCGCTTGGCGTGTTCAAAATACTTATCAATAATTTCTTTAAGGATTCACCGTCTTTCCCGCTGAACAGCAAAGAATTTTGCTTACCTGGGTGCCAAGTCATTGTCAGATCTAGGTCATTGCTTACAAACTGTTTAGATTTGCCACCGGGCGACCTCCAGCAACCAACCAAACCGACAACATTTTCGGTAAAATTCTTCAGAGATATCAGATCATTTGACCACTTTATACGTGTACCATCATAGACTAAGTGTGTATTAATGTTTAGCAATTTTATTGAGGGTATATCAACACGATCAAGACTAAAATTCCTTGCTGTAGGCGAGCTTAAAATTTCGCTGCCGTCCGCCATTGTTATGTCATCATTGTATGAGAACAAAAACGTTTGAAGACATTTGCACTAGCAATCATTATCGTAGACGACAAACATCATCTGAACATTGTACTTTTCTACTAATAATAAATTATGATTTGAGTATAACGGCATTACAGTAATTCTGTTTATGAATTATGATAATGATAATAAATAACTTTTTACATTACTTATAACCTACAGAGAAATTCATATCACGGGTGCCGGTATACTATACGGCATGGTTTACATAGTATATAATAAAGACCTACAAATATAATCGCAATATTGAAATATAAATCTTGTAATTAGAAAGCGTATGATAACCGTTGTAGTTGGGAAACGTCGGAACAGGACGCCATGGTTTTCTGCGTTCGGCGGAAAAACCGCACAAACCGCAACCGCAAATTGCACGAACCGCGACAGCAAACGGCACGAACCGCAACCGCAAATTGTACGAACGCGACTGCAAACCGCACGAACCGCGTCCGCACATTAGAGAGGTTAAGATACCCCGGTTCCGGTTTACGGGTACGAGTATCGCCATTTTGTTTACCAATTTTTGCTGATGTCAGCAATTTTACCCGTAATTTCTACCCGTTTCCCCGCGGTAAACCGTGGTCTACACGTAAACGACAAACGGGTACGGGTGTTTCCTGTTTACTATTTTTGGGCCGTTTAAATAGTACAAATTTTCAACATCTTACCCAAATAAATAATGTGACATATACTGGTCAAAGCTTTTAACAATTTATGGCGAACCTCAACAGCGAAAGTTGCCATTCCCTTATTGGTTTTCTCACGCCGGAGTATCTTGGATTTCTTAAGTTACAAGCTATTCCCCGATTTACGGGTACGGGTACGTGTATATCACCCGTACCCGTTAATCGGAATCGGGGTATCTTAACCTCTCTATTGCACGAACCGCGACCGATCCGCAGTGTTAACTTATTTCTAGGCAGCACTGTATATACTCCCCCCCCAAGAAAATATTGATTTATGATGAAAAGATATTACATTGGCCATTTACAACACATTGTTGGGGTGGGCACAGGTTGTAGGGGTGATGGAAGCTCTGTTGGGACATAACTCCTATCATAACCTTTATAATTTAATTTCAATTTGGAACACCAGATGTACTGGATGGCAATCTGGCAATTTATACTTAGTAACTATGTTGCTCCCCTTGCACTGGGAAGGTAATTTCTATCTTGTATCCTGGCCACTTTTGATCGTTAATTAAACCATTAAGCCTGCATGGTAATTGCAACGCCAATGGTTTTGGTGTCTCTGGTTTGGAGTTGGGTCACATTGTTTTGTTTTTCCATCATCGTTTTTGTGCTCAACTTTACAACATATAATATATTCTTGTTTATTCCAGAATTATATCACAATTAGGACACCATAATTTGGCATATGTACTGACTCACTCTGGTTTCCCAATTAACCCATAGGGTGCATGACAGCACTCTCTCATTGAAAAGTAAAAGTAGGGCAGGCAAAATACAGTACCAAGCAAGATGTATGGAAATTGAAGACACAAAAGCTGGATTAATTTCGAACTATTTTAATTGAACTTCTTCAATATTCTTGAATTATTAACAGTGAATAATTTTAAATTAAAACTAAAATAGTATTGTAATTTAGTGTACATGATGTACTGGAGCATGTGTTAACATAATTAACATTAATTTAACTTAATAAAGTTCACTGCAGCCAGGTATATCAATCATGTTTCGCTCGCTACTCTGGTTTAAATAAATGATTACAAAGCCCAGTCGAATTGTAATCAAGACCCAACGTTTCGACACTCCAGTCCAGTGTCTTCGTCAGCGGGGTGATCTAAAATTGCAATCGTGATATTGCTCACAAAGTCAAATTTAACACTTTCAGGAGTCTCTTAACACGTGATTATATGGCAAAATCGGATCAGTCAATTTACTGCATGTGAGTTAACAGTAGTATATGACTATATGTTGATGTCAAATATACCAAGTGAATCCAGTATAGTGGCCGGCCCCCGGCTATTTTTCCCCTTTTGCTCCCCTCTCTGGCCTTGTGCTAATCCTGGTCTACATTAAGTGTATTAATTTAATAAATGATTTTCACCGCCATAATCTTTGTAAAAATTTCTCCCAAACCAGTTTATATGAGGATGCCAAAAATTATAAATTAAATTACAAGCTGGCAAAGACACATCGTCAGGGTTAAAACAAAACAGTAAATCTTATGACCACAATTTCTCAAATTTTGTAAGGTTTTTTATGACTTTTATGTCCGATATTGAAATATTTGCAGTTTATATTGACATGAGTGAATGCTCGAGTGTTGAGTTTTGACAAAATATTTTTATATAATTTTTGTACTATCCGTTATCAAAGACACATGAATCTTACCTGTGAAAAGAATTACCCATCCTTTATGTAAATTAAATTGTTGCATCAGTAAACGGAGCAAAACGGCACTTTAATTCCTTCCAAGTTGTAAAAACGAGAAAGGCGCATTACCGAGTTTTAAATCAAGAATAGTTTTGTCCAGTCATGCTTCATGGTTTGTTTTGTTTCTTGCATGCACCGTCCTGTTCTTTTGTTAAAAGTTATAACCTAAAAATTATAAATTAAGAGGACACTATTTAGTTATCTTACGAAAATAGTACATAAAATGTTCGATTCCTTCATTCAATTTAATTTTTCGCTTATATGCCGTAGGTTTTTGGTTATATCTGGCTATATCTTTCTTTGCCTGCCTGTTAGTGGAGACTGGAATGAATTCGGACGGATGGACCGCAAAACATAACTGTATTTCTTGAATAATGGAAGTTTCCCAAAAACAGAGAAACTTCCTTAATTTTTGCATTATAATTCAACAATTTGTTTTTTACCAGTGAATCAAAAGTAGCGCCCCCCGCTGTAAGATCATCCTGTAAGATCATCCGCGTATAAAAGACTATTTATAGCATTTCTATTTTGAAAGGGTCTGAATATGAATGTTGAATAATAAAGGATTTAAAATGCACCCTTGACGCACTCCTTTTTGATGTTCCCAAAAAGGTGTCCTGTTTTCAGATAGTTTGATTGCACATTTTGTGTTTGAATCAACATATGTCTTGAACTAAATCGTAGAAGTCTCCCCCTATTTTATTTTCAAGTAGTTTGGAATAAAAGCCGCCTTAATGCCAGACGAATACATACGCTTTTTTTTAAATCAACAAAACATGCGTAAATCTTTCCACTCTCACTTTGTTTAACGTATTTGTCATATAAAGTTTTCAGTGTGAGAATGTGATCTGCCGTTCTATTTCCAGGAATACATAAATCCTATTTGAGTTGGATGAATTAAATTCTTTTCTTTGGTAAAATTCATCAGTGTCGTACTTAGAATCGAACAAAATAATTTGCCCATACAGATTGAAACACAGATACCGCGATAAATACTGGAATCTAAGGAGTTCCCTGATTTGTGGATCGCAAAGATGAAATAAGCTAAAATATTAGTAACAAAGGAAGTAAATGGCGTGGAACTGCCTAAAGGATGAACTGGGTGTCTATAAATAATGTCTGTGGCATTCTACTCAATTCTTGCTCAGTTCCATCGGACAAACAGATACGAAATTTATGACTTGGCAAGGTTGACCCGCGGGAATTTCCTATACGACATTGCAGAGCCCTTACATCTTCAAGAGGACTGATTAGTTCATGAAGTGAAATTGATTCAATTCAACAGCCACTGCCCCAACAGCAGAAACGCGAAGAGCCGGTGGCAGTTGCTGGCGTCGTGGAGGTATGTGTGGTTTTAGTCTGTGTGCTAAATTGTAATATCCGTTAACTGCTCATTGTAAAACAATCTCCGAAAGTAGTTCGCCCAAGCCATTTAAAAATAGAGGAGGACACTATGGAGGGAAATTGCCCTATTCATCATCAACATTGTTCTCGGGAAAAGGTCCGCCAACTTTGCAATACTGTAGTTATCGTTCGAAGCAGAATAGATGTATACCTAAGCATCGTGCCCTATTGTTGTAGATATAGCTGCCCGTAGAGCAATTCTGAGGAAAAAAGGGAAGATCTGAGATCTGGTCATATTATAAAGTGTTATGACTCTCAGTATAAATGCCAATCAACCCAGTACTAAATCAGAAACTGCATGCACAGAGAACCCAAACTGAAACATCTACTATATATGTTGAGAGTAATACAACAGTTCTTCTACAGACAGCTCAGAGCTTAGTGGGCAAAGTTGGAGGTGAATTGGTTGGAAAGCATAAATGCTCAAATTGGGTTTGACTCATGTAGTCAGCGATCCTACTCCGCTTACAGCTAATACCGTTCGGTTTACGTATACGGCTGAATTTCGATTGTTTCTAGACCTAGTTAAGCCACCTAAAGTTCAAGAAGCAGTGGATAGAAGAGATAAATTTGCACAAGATATGAAAGTTTAAGAAATTCCTATAGAATAGCAGCGGAGAAATTGTATAGTTTAAACTTTCTATTCTTGACAGTGCGTGCGCGCTATAGTAATGGCTTATATAGCTAATAATGTTCAGTTTGCGGCTGAATTTCGATTGTTTCTAGACCT